TCCAATCTACTAGCAGATGGCCTCCAACCTACGAGCGATGGCCTCCAACCTAAGAGCAATGGCCTCCAACCTAAGAGGAGTGGCCTCCACCCTAGTAGCGGTTTGCTGGCAGATGCCATTTGATACACGCATCGGACTACTATTTGCTACAGAGTGTAGCTTTTTTTCCCTATCGCTGTGTCAGTCTTTTCTGGATCAGTTTTCATCCGGTCTTCCGAGGCAGAGCAGGGATGACATCGTCTCAAAACTCGAGCATTATGGCCCCAAACCAAGCCGCCAAGCATGGCACATGGCCATTTCTCTATGCATCTTCAAGGTCTCCTTCCTTAAACGTACACTTGCTTTGTTTGTGCTCCAGGGGAGGGTAGCGTCGTGTGAAGCACCTTCTTTTAACAAGAAGCCAATACAATTCAAGTTGGCTGGTTTTCGGTTCCGCGAAGCACATTGTCATCAACTTTCATACGATTATTGGTTCAGACCAGTGACCAGTAATGAAAAGACTGTGATAGCATGCCGTCTCTCCTGGCCTGATGCTTCAACGCGCAATGGCACCAGAGCAGCGTGAGCACTTTGCAGAATTTACGAATGGCCTCTCGTGCTGGCTCCAGTCAGATTCCCGACCAGGCTCCGCCTCTCAATAGATCCAGCTCTTCTGATTCCTCTTTTGGTGAATTTCTGGACCCACCTGGCAGATACAGATCAGGCAGACATGGATCGGTTCCCAGACATCCTCGTGCAAAACTCCTGGTCGCCATTCTCAGCGCCATGGAAATTGCAACTGTGGTCCCCACATTGTGGTTGGAACAGCAGATTGGTGGTGGACCGGAGCACATGGTGCTTCGTATCTCACTTATGTTTCTGCGTTTGTATCCGATCCTCAGGGTTCTGGTCCTTTGTTTGTACTTCAGTGGCCCCAGTCGTTGTTTCGGACTTTTGCCGTTCTCCTTGCAATGGAGTTGCAGAGAATGGTGCCTATGGTTTCTGAGAGCTGGTTCATGTGGCTCGCGATTTCCAGAGATCCGCTGGGGAATGGCAGTGACTTTGGACATGTGGTTCATGCTCACTTCTCCATTAGCGGCCGCAGTAAGAGGGCTCAGACTGCAGGGCCAGGAGTTGTCAGCTGCTGTGATGTTCTGGGTGCTTTTCGCCAACTGCATGATTTGCGCCCTTGATGCCGTTGCTCTGATCATGTCCTTGGTGTACAGCAAGCACCTAGTTGCCGAGGTGCATCCAGAAGTCACATTTCATCGCCCACGATCTATCAAATGGGGGATTGGAGAGGAGGGAAACAACTCGACCTGCGCAATTTGCCTGAGCGAGTTCACTGAGGGAGAGGCTGCTCAGCTGTTGCCGTGCGGTCACGTGTTTCACACCGACTGTGTTACGAGCTGGCTGCAGGTCAGCCGTTCTTGTCCCATGCGTTGTCCTGATTTGATTTTGCCGGTGCCTCCGGACGAGCTGGATGGGAACAACCACGGTCGTTCCGACTTGCATCAGACTAGCATGCAGCCTCCAGAGCTTTTTGTGCTTCCTGGTGAGGCACAGAGTGAGTCAAGATAAGCACCAGGAAATGTCGCAAAATGGGACACTTCTGGAGCTTGCACAGTTTCGATGTCTTTCTGTTGCATACGATTGTTTTCATGGGTGCTGCACCATTTTGCAGGCCCAGCCAATGAGAAGATAATGAAAGCACAATGATATTGGATAGAAATAGGTCCCGCGAGTGTGATGCGTAGTTTTGTGTACTGAACTGTGTGCAGAAAGGCTTTTGAGGATCCAGACAATTCAATATGCCTCCAAAGACGTTCTCACTGATGTAGAAAGGCCTTGTGCATGGCGCTGGCTCTGAGCCCAGAAGAATTTGGCAGTCACGTGCGTGGCTCACAGCTTAGTGAGGAGGCAGACCTGCACATATCCACAATGAGGCAAAGATGTTGTCAGCCCTGGCAGTGATGATGACTTGGTGTCGCTGGAAGCTGAGCGGCTGATGCGCAAAGGGGCACGAATGCGTGGTCCCAATCTATCAATTTGGTTTCTGAAAAGTCCCTCTGGATGTGGGACATCAATGTGTGCATGTGAGACGATTTTCACCACAAGGCCGAGAAGGGAAGCTCAAGATGAGGCCAAGCATGTTGCTGATCATCGAGCATCATTTGAGTCATTTGTTTGTGTTCCAGGCCCAGGAACCTTCAGTAAAGCTGCTGCCTCAGAAAATGTCCTCCTTGTACAACAACTTGTCTTGGTCGAAGTCCTGGAAGCGGACAGTTTGCGAGGACCAACCAATCCCGATATTTTTTGGGAGGGTTTCTGTTCTCGAAATTCAGTGCAAGTCCAGCAAATTACGGGCGAACGATGTGTTTCGCCTCAATGAGGGTATTGGAGCACGTGCATCCCAGGAACCCGCTAATTGGCCACTTCAAGCTGGATGACGGTTTTCGAGAGGTGCTTTCTCGAGCAGTTCCTTCCTAAAATGCAATCAGAGCACAGAACGGTGAGACCTGTGAGGTGGTCATCAGCATATGCCTGCGAGTTCTATCTCAGGCACCTTTGTGTTTGTTCTGCATTTTGTTGCGATTGCTTGTAGCTTGTTTGTGCTTGAGACCCGAGGTGGAGCTGGACATTGTCCGGGACGGTCCACAGCTTGCTCGGCTCGCTTGACACTTGACTTCTTGATTTCTGCGTGGGGCATTGCCTGGTGTGCGCCAGGCAGATGAGGCTTGGAACGAGGCGTGGCCTGCATGCTGCATGGCTATGAACATCGAACGTGTGACGTAAGAAAATGCAGTCAAGTTGGCATGTAGCCGTGAAAAAGTGGTTTGTTAGGTATGTGATCTCTGAACTGGATTGGATGCGGGAATTCATCGAGGGTGTCTCCATGGAAGCGGTTGGATCCCAAACAGCTGAGAGTTTTCCAAGCTATTTGCCAAAAGATTGGTAAATCATCACTACAGGACTCACCCAGAGATCAAAACTCCGTTGATGCATGTATATATATATATATTATATACACACTGTATATGTATAATCTACAATCACACACACACATGTATATAACATGTATATATATACAGTATATATATATCACACACACATATATATATACAGTGTGCAGAGAGAGGGAGATAGAGAGACAGAGAGACTTTTCCTTTTTCAAGCTGCCGAGGTCCGGATTTTGGACTTGCTATGCCTGATGGATCCTTCCCTCGTGACTCGCATTTTTCCAGCAGTCAAGAAGGCCTTCCAATTTTGTGGTAAAGCTCAGAGGAAACTTGCCAGCTGCTAGGTGTATGAGCGAACAGCCAACCGGCAGACCTTCTCTCAGAAGACAGGTTGTGAGAATACATTTGGGCACAGGGTCGGTGTTGAGAACTGTTTTGCTTCTGGATAGTGTTCAACTTAGGAGTGGAGTTGTTTTTGCGTCGGTGCTCCAGTTCTTTGTAAATCACGGGCAGCATGTGCGACGCCAAGCGAGTGATTGAATGCGGCCGGGGGTCAACAAGGCCAACCACGGAACCGACACCTAGGTCATTTTTGATGTAGACCCAGTTCTCCACCACTTCTTTGAAGACTATGCCACTTTCCAGCATTTTATTGTCTCATTCTTACTGAGTCTCAGTGGTTTTGAGAAGCGTGTAAGCTCCAAGGTGTCTGTCAGATATAGACAGCAGCTTCTTGCAATGCGCGCTGCTGAGCTACTTTATGTACAAACCTTCTTAGTATCACACCACACCACTGCAAGCCTCCCGCCAATGACCACAAAGCCCTGGATAAGAATGATTTGTGGTCATGTCCAAAAATGGCAGTGCGAAGTCAAACCATGCACCCTTTTGTGATTTTTTGTGAAGCCGCCAGGAGCACGCCGCTGTTTCTGACTACCAACACTTCAAAGATGCTTTTGCACACACCTGTGTCGCCCTGTCACATTTCATACCTGAAATCCTCGAGTGCGCTTGTCACTCCCGGATCCTACGTCAAGTCCTGGCCAGGTTCCCCAAGTACTACCCTGCGATCATAAAGCTGCTGGCTTGGCCCGCCTGTCAAATTGTGGCCCTTGGATGCCCTTGGTAGGGTGACCAGTGGCCGGAGATAGAGCTATACTGTGTGGTGTACAGCTTGCGTCGCAAACACTGGATGCACTCAGTCAGCCAGCTGCCCATTTTTTCGGATCAGGAGTCTGCAATTAGGGTTGGAGTATGCTGCGTCCTGCATGTGCGGTGGGAAGATGTCAGACCTTGGTGCCAGCGCGGTCGCCGCTACCTGCCAAACTTGTGGCGCAGGTTTCTGTCAAGGTCGAAGGTGCTTTCCCTCCCAGGATTTTGCTATATTTGTGTTTTTTATCAACAGAATTTTGGAGTAATTAGTGTCGAATCTTGATATCAAACAATTCAACAGAACAGGAAGCAATGACCCAAATAGGAAGTCACTATGAACCTCAGCCGCTATTGTGCTCGCAAGGGGGCAATCCCTTCATGTTATTCTGAACCCCCGAACCGTTCATTGAAATCTGCGGATCTTGAAACAGGACGCACAAAACGAGAAGTGTACAACTAGGTACACTAAACCAGGCTTAACTGCCTTCGTGTTTGGCTCAAGAAAACAAAGACCGCTTTTCGTGAAGCATGGGTTATGAGCCCAAAGCGGTCGCGCCATGACATCTTTGATGGCGAGGAGAAGATCTTCTTCAAAGGAACGTCAGCAAACGGCTGACGAGCGGCTGGATGAGCTGCTGGCGCAGCAGACTCCCGCACGTCGCACCCAAAGTGCGGAGCCGAGTGCAAGGCGACCGGCCTTGGTGAAGAGCACGAGACAGACGGTGACGGACAAGACCCCAGCTGGAGCGAATACGGAGCCCAGGGCGGCGATCATGGATGGTGGTCAACCACGACAGGAACCCCCTCCAGGAACACTGCTGGCTGGACTACTCCCTCCTCTACCTGGCGGAGCTCTTCTTGGTGGTGGACAATCTGGACTGGTGGATGCAGCTCAAGCCTTGACGCGAGAGCAGATTCCTGGATGGCCAATGCTCCAGGGACTGTATCCCCAGGGATATCCGGTGGTCTTCCATCCAGGGGGACGAGCAGATGATGTGGGGCAGATGCCTATCCTCCCAGGACGTCGTGAACGTGAGGGAGGGGAGTTGGCGGAAGGGGCTTCAGCTTCAAGGCTGGAACTATCTCCGGGAGATCGAGAACGCCAACGAGAGGAACATCAGCCTGGACATGCTCTTCGACCCGGTCGTGCACATGAACCCGCTGGTGAACTACCTGGACGTGAACTGGGGGTGGCTGGTGCCATGTCGAGGCAACAATCGCCTATCAATCCTTGGTCTGCTGAGAAGATTAAGCAGACGATGAATCTCCCGCAGAGCCAAAGCCAAGAGGCGGGAGAAACCGTTGAACTTCTTCGCCAACGAGTTCTTCGTGATGCCGAACAGCGTTTTGCTGATGGTGTTCGACAGCTGCTGGGAGGAGGCAATCCGCCTTCCGATGCTTCGTTCAAGACGGCTGCGGAGAATGGAGGCGCAACACAAGGGGATGGGAAGCAACAGGTGCCGGAAACCGGGGGACCACGGCAGCCTTCGGGGACTGGAACACAGGTGGCTTCATCCTCAACTATGACGACAAGTGGTGGTGTTCCTGTTCCTGGAGGCAATCTTCCTGGACCTGGACCCGTTCAAGGAACCGGACCTGGAGTATGTTTCCCTTGGCCATATCCCCCTGGAATTCAGCTTGGACCAGGTGGATGGGGTGCTATCGGGCTACCGCCCAATGGTGGTGGAGGTGGCGGAAACTATGGACCTGGCCTGGTTGGTGGTGCTCCTATGGGTGGGGGCAGTGAGGAATCGGTCAATGAGACCTTTCGCAGTGTGGATCTACCTCCACTTCCTTCGGACGCCAATGCACTGTCCTTCGGTGATTGGTTAGCCACGATCCAGCCTTTGATCGCGGACGTGAGTGTGTCGGTGGAGGAATGGTGGGCTGTGACCTTGAAGGGTGTTGATGAGCTGTATACCCAATGGTTGGCTTCGGATCCTCTTCAACGTCTTCGGTTGGACACTGGCACTTCATCGGCGGCTACAAGGTGGCTTAGGACCGAAAGGAGGATGACCAGTTTGTTGTTGCAGGCGGTCCCCGACAACATCAAGGCGGAGGCTATGGCTGCGAGGAAGCTGAGCGTGACCCATTTGCTGTTCACGCTGTTCGTCAAGTTTCAACCTGGCGGACAAGGTGAGAGGGTCACTCTCATCCGGTTTTTGACGGAGCTCAAAACTACGGGCTCTATGGTTGAACTGGCGCAGAACCTGCGTCAATGGCGGAGATGGTGGAATCGGGCTCAAGAGTTGGCGGTGATGTTGCCAGACCCTGTCATCTTGGCAGGTGTTTTGACTCGGGCTTCGGACGCCATTGCCAAGTCTGGTGCGCAAGCTGCATACCGGTTGTCGGTGTGCAGGCAACAGTTGCAAATTGATACAAGACCCAACTTGGACTCCATCAAAACCTTCGCGGAGCTGCTGCAGGCTGAGACCGAAGAGCAGGCGTTGGGCGCTGGAGGAATTGGGGGAGCGGGAAAAACGACCGTTCCGTTTGTGAAGGCAGCAGCTTTGGGGGCTTCATCAACGACGGCGACTTCGGCGACGGGAAATGCGCAGGAGTCCAAGGCCGCTGGGGTGGAGTTCAAGGGCGACTGTCGCTTTTGGTTGTCGGACAAGGG